TCTCTCTCTCTCTCTCTCTCTCTCTCTCTCTCTCTCTCTCGGCAGAACCAGGGATCGAACTCAGGTCCTTGCGCTTGCCAGGGAAGTGCTTATGCTACTGAGCCATCTCCCCAGCCCTACCCTCTCTCCTCAAACACACTTGTTCCAGCACTCTTGGCACTGTCTGGAGCGGTTCTGGAAGTCCTTTTTCCTGAGTGTCTTTAGTTGCACTGTCTTCAATATCCTGAATGAATTCAAATGGTAAGCTTTCATGATCTTTTTGACTTTGGGAAGGAGACAGAAGTTGCATGGTGTCAGATCTGGTGGATGAGGTGGATGAAGACCAACATGATGCTTTCAAGAGCCTGCCCTTCCATTGTATGACAGTGACCAGCAGCATCCATTGTAGTTTTGATCACAGGTCATAAAGACACAAAAGAGGACTTCCAGAACTGGTTCAGAAAGCAGTAAAAACAATGTGGGAGGTATGGGATTAACAACAACATGTCTTTCACTGTAACACAACTGTAATAACAATCATTAACCATGTATTTCAATCATACCCTCTGTATGTGGCAAAATCCAGAATATAAAATGTTCTTAAAATGATGCATTACTAATATAAAATTCCTTGACATTTATAAGGTATGTGGTTGAGGTGTTTTCACATGCATTATTTCAGCTGGGTCTCACAGTAATCTTATGATGTATATAGGACAGGTATTATCATTTTATGGAAAAAGAATTCAAGGCTTGTGAGAAGTATTATCAAAGAATAAAGGACTATTTCAGGTAAGAATATCACACATTAAATCCAGGTGTAATGGTGCACCTCTGTAATCCTAGCACTCAGGAGGCTGAGGCAGGAGGATCACTGTAAGTTTGAGGCCAACTGAGGCTACACAGTGAGTTCAAGAAGGCCAGCAATACAAGAGACCCTGCCCCCCCCAAAAAAGAAAAAGAATATCAAACACTAAAGGGTTTAAATCAGTTCAAATATCAGAATCGTATATAATCTAACTACTATGGAAACTAAAAATGCTTTTCTAGATACCTATTCTGTGCTGTAATTTATGTTTACCTTCAAGGAACACTTACATTTGTTACTTCTTTAGCCTCTGCTTTGGTTTCCTTGTTGGTATCGTGGGCTTTAGTAGCAGTAGCCTTAGAAACAAACATTCCCATAATTCCTTTGGGCTGCTGGGAAACCTGTTTAGAGGGAGGTGGGCCATGACCATTGGTGGTCAGCTCATGATTGGCTTACGTTTCATTTGACACCTGAAGATTCAACTGCTCGAACTTTCTGGAGGATGAGGATTCTGTAGGGACCCTGGGGACTGCAGCGGCACATTGTATGGCACTAAACCTAAAACAGAAATGATACAGTAAATTGCTGGCAGTACCAAATCTTATTTTTTTGTACCGGGGACTGAACTCAAGACCTTGTGCTTGCCAGACAAGTGCTTATGTTACTGAGCTATCTTCCCGGCCCTCCAAACCTTATTTTTAAATTCTTGCTTCTTTCACATAATACGTTCTAATGCTAACATTGACATACTAAGGAATTTTAAACTAGAATGGATTTTAGAAATTTCTGCATAAAATTCTCATTTAAAGAAATAAGTACTAAGAGAAAAATAACCTCTGCTATAACACTTGCAGAGCTGTGATTGGAATCAGAAGCCTTCTACTATACCATATTGGACACTCTTGCTTTTCAGGGGAAGCAACACAAAACAAATTCAAGAGTAAAAACACATCAAATGATAAAGATTTAGTAATTCTACCATCCCTGGGGAACCAAATGGTTATCCCTTATTTAGAACTTTCCTTCTAGGACTGGGTATATAATAAATATTGACTGAATCAAAATTAAAAGCTTTAAGTATTAACAAGTTTCCTGGCAACTCTCCTGAACACGGAGGGTCATGCTTTAAAACATGAAAGAAGCTGGGAATGGAGTCACTAGCTCCTATAACTTGTCATTTATGGCCACTTACTGATTTCTAATACCATCTTATAGTAAGGCACAGGTCATTACACGATGGCCAAGCGAAGAATCTGGTGAACAGTCTCATGCTCATGTTTTCTACATGGTAGAACACAACGTCCTACACTGTTTTATTTAAAGCAAACCTAGTAAACTTTTTTTTTCTTATGTATTTGGTACAGGGTCTCACTACGCAGCTCGAACTTCTAGCTATCCTCCCTTTCAGCCTCAGGTGTGTGCCACCACGCCCGGTCTTGGTGGCTGGCTCAGTCACCTGGGGGCAGGCGGAGCCTACACCAACTTTTCCTTTACAAGAGAAAACTTTAAACTCCATCCCACTACCTACCCGCCCCCAACCTAGTCTTCTGCTTCTTGGAGGTGTTTGAGAGTTCCTTGAAGGTCTTACACATCTTTTTTAGTTCAGGGACTCAGCATAGATCTGGCACACAGTAAGTTTGTCAGGAGAAACATGCTGGAAAAAAATGGCCATTTAAAGTGACTGAAAATGAGGTTGGTGTCTCACCTTTCTCTGCTGCTCTGCTTCAACTTGGGGTGGGAGATGGGGGAGTTTTAGAAACTGTGTGGTGTTAGCAATTATGAGAGCACAGGCACAACTTCAAAAGTAACTGATCAAATAACTGGCCTATGAAGAAAATCTCTGATGCATCATTTCAATTAAAAAATAACTTAGACTGAGCCCCCGCAAAGCTAGAGTCCACAGCTCCAAAGGGTGTCTGCTGACTCACTACGGTCCGTACAGAAAACCTCCCATTAACATACATCACTGCCGCACCAGCGCTAAGAAGAGGACAAAAGCGTTTACTTTCCCCACTGCTCTTCCTCTCTGTTCTACAGCACCTCCATGTCCAAGGGAAGGGCAGCGTCCTACGGTCACCGTCAGCATTCTAAAGTTGGCCCTAACAACTCTCTCCCTTTGGTCTGCATTCCACACCTTCAGGTCAGAACCAGAAACTGGCACTGACGACAAGACCAAGTCAGGCTGGGAGCTTGTCCGCAGACAGAAGAATCTGCTCAGTCCTAAAATGTCAACTTTCTTCCTGTTACAGCATTTCTTAAAGCACACAAAATCACGAGTCAGATCTCAGCTGGCTCATAATTGTCAGAACCAACCACAAACTTCTTTATTGGAGATAAATTCTTCACATTTCTACCAACAGTATGTTTAAGCATTTAGGTAAAGTTCCACTAAAGTGCTTCCTATTATCACATTTCTATTTGTTCCATTTATTTTAGTGGGGCCTGGACAAATTCCATTTTGAACTTTTCAGTCACTTTTATTCTACAGTCTCAGCACTTGGGAGGCTGATGCAGGACGGTTTAGTGTGAAGCCAGCCTGAGCTACTTCACAAGTTGAAGCCTGGTCTGCACTGCATAGCAAGACCCTGGCTCATAAAACCAAAATAACTGGTAGGGCAGAAGGTATGTGTGGGCTGCTATTTGTGGTATTAAGGATAACGCCATGTTCCTGGCTGGGTGCTGAGTGTTGAGAAAGGAGATATACAAAAAGGAACAAATCAGAGTAAAGATTTTGGAATCAGGAAAAACAGGCAACCAACTGGCCAATAGCAATAACCATGTAGAAAGAATACATAGAATGAAAGAAGGGTAGAAAGTAAAACCCAAGATCATAGTTTCTAACTATGTGACTGTGGGCAAATTAATCTGTCATTCAGCTTCTTTATCATTAAAGGGAAGCTGCTAACAGTGCTACTCCCAAGAGGGCTGGAAAGGGATTTTTATTTTTTTGGTGGTACCAGGGATCGAACTCAGGACCTTGCACTTGCCAGGCAGGTGCTTATGCCCCTGAGCTATATCCCCGGCCCAC